TGGTTTAGAAGGAAAATTTTCTTTTCGATCTCTGCATATAGCGATACAATATTCCTAAATTAGAAAAGGTTAATTACGCTGGTCCGAATTAAGCTTAATTCAGGCCAAAATTTGAATATGTTATATGGCCATATATAGCAAAGATAGTCAATCCAAAATTATAGTAGTTTATATGCAGATTGTGTAACCGTATTTTACAATCACATGATTTATGGGGACTGGCGATATATCGCCATGGCGGTATTTTATAAAATCTAATAATATATTGTAATATATGGCAAAGTAATAACTTAATTACTAAATAATATATGTATTTAAACATATTTGCTAGTAAATATATTTAAATATATATATTATCTAGTAATTAAGTTATTATTTTACTATATATTACAATATATTATTTGGTTAAAATATAATTTTAACTGTGAATAATCGTTATATTAGATTATACGGCAGAAGTTAACTGAAAAAGAAGCCAAAAAGAAATATCGCTGAGTAAAAGGGTTTGGAAACCCTATATGGACTTTAAGTTTAGATGAGTTGGACGATTTTCTTGAAAACAACAAAAATAATCTGGACCCATTACAAATTGAGGGGTTTCAAAACCTTTTAACCGGTCTTGATGAATTTTTTGAAGAAGAACCAATTTCGTCTCTTAACAATTTTAATTGTATGCAGGTATTTTCTTTAGCTTCATTAGAAAGTACAGACATAATTCATGCTATTGCTAGTTTTCATGGAAGTCCTATGTTTTCAAGCGTTGTGGTTAGTGGCTATGAAAATAATGAAGAAATAAATTGGTATGGCTTGGTATATATCAAACAGTTGCTCAATTTAAATTTTTTTATTAAAATTTGCCTAACAATAGTAAATTATGATTATAAGCAAATGATATTTTGAGGGTAAATTAATAACATAAATATTATTTCAAGGTACTTCTTATACTTAAATTTTATCAAACAAACCAAGAGCCACTAGAGTTCACCTTAGTCTGTTGGTATGAGGAAGTTGGTGAATTATGGGGATGCCCTAAATTGAAGTTACTTAAACATTATAGTTGTATACCGTTAGATAGCATTGATAGGACAGTGCATATAGTTCTGAGATTTAATAAAATAAATGAATATTTATTGAATATTTTTATTTTCTAATTTAAAAGTATATCAATATTTAAAATGTATATTATGTACATTATATTTCGATAGATAATGATAAGTCTATATATGTATCGATTTAAATAAAATCGAAGATAATCGATTTTTTGTTAATACGATAAGTATCGATTTATATAATTTCAAAGATAATCGAATTTTTGTAAATAATGATAAGTACCGATTTAAATAATTTCGAAGATAATCGATTTTTTGAAAATAACGATATATATCGATTTAAATAATTTCGATCATAATCGATTTTTTGTTAATATCGGTACATATCTATCTACCGATATATATCGATTTTGATATATATCGATTTTTTGTTAATATCGATACATATCCATCTATCGATATATATCGATTTTGATATATATCGATTTATAACTACCCTGCCAATATATATCATTATATTTTAATCGATATATATCAATTTTTTGATATATATCAATTAGTAACTATCCAAAAATTTTCCTGATGCAATTTAAAATATTTTGAAATAATTTGAAACAATTCGAAACAATTTGAAATATTTTGAGTAGTGTTCCTCATACCTGAACTGAAGCCTGAATCTGACCCAGACCTGGCCTTGCGAGCCAGGTCAAACCATGATTTTTTGAACCCAATTGGGTTCAGGTCATGAGAGAAACCCGAACCGATAGTACCCGGACTGACCCAGTTTATAAAAAAATTATTTTTACTTTGATTATCTGAATATTAACGATTGCGATAGCATAAATTTGATTTTATCACAGAAGCATATACGATAGCATATTTACATATCGGGACTAATTTTGCATAATTATAGCTATTATTATTATTTCTGGAACACCTGAAGAATTTTCTGATAACCGAAATATCCTCTGTTTCATTTGGTAAATTACCTAGCTCTCCAGAAATTATATCGCTATCTTCAGACTGAAGGTCCGGAGACAGTGATATAATTTCCAAGAAGCTAGGTAATTTACCAAATGAAACAGAGGACATTTCGGTTATTAGAAAATTCTTCAGGTATCCTAAAAATAATAATAATAGCTATAATAGAGCATAATCAGCACATAAAATAGCTGATATTAAAGATAATATAATATCTGAACATTTCTAGTCAATAAAGAGAGACCAACTGGATTTTCAAAAAAATTTTTTCGTATTGTTCCATGACTGTATAAAATTTTCCGAAATTTCCTGTAGCTCTATATATATACTATGTATATTTATCTAAATTTTTTTTACTATAGGGATTCTGAGAATACAAAATCCAGTTGGTCTACAAAACATGAATATGGTAGTCAGGATTTCAGGAAGTATAGTAATTTATCTGGTAAGTTAATGATGGGTTCAGTAACTTACGATAAAAATTTATAAATTATGGTAATCGCATATTTTGCATAATTCGCATAATTTACAGCATAATTCTAAAAAATTTATCACATAATTTGCATAAATCGAATTGTAAAGCAGGCAGAATTTGGGGCTGTCGCAGCAGAAAATGAGGATCCCTACACAAGTCATTAATTAACTCGTGACAGGGAGTACATTTTGCTTAGTAAATTTTTTTAAAATGCTTTATTTTCACGTGAGTAAGGTATACTTATACCGGTTCTGGTTCAGGTCAGGTATCAAATATTCGGGTATGGGTTTATATTTGGACCCGGACCGGTTTTCCGGTTTGAATTCGGGTTTTTGCTAAAACCTAGCCTGACCTGGCCCATGAGGAACACTAATTTTGAGTTTACCAATTCAAAATATATCAAAATATTCTAAATAAAAAAATATAATAAACTAAAATTTTTTATAATAAAATTTACTAGAATATTTTAAAATGTTTCGAATTATTTTGAATTAAACTAAATTTATTAGTTTTTATAAACATTTACTACATATAAATTTTATAGCTTAAAACTCTATTTTATTAATAACTTTATTCTTATTTTATTAAAAATAATATATAAAAAGATTGATTATATGCAATATATAACTTTATTAAAAAAAAAACTTAAATTTTTTATTTTTACCTATTTAATTTATATAAAAAAAAAAAATTTTTTACAAAAATTATTATGCAACAAATATCATTGTATAACAAATATCATTGCGTAATGAACATTGTTGCATAATGAACATCATTGCATAATGAACATTGTTGCATAATGAAAAAATACCAAACTACCCGCTTTATATCAAAAAGTTCGACTTCACCATGACAAAACTTCACACAAAAATGATGATACCAATGATATTACCAACGAACAAATCTTCACCATAAAGATGATGACACCAATGACGAAAACTTCACCAACAGCGATAACACCAATGACGAAACTTCACCACCAAGGAAGATGATATCAATGACAAAGATGACGATACCAATGATGAAACTTTACCACCAAGAAGGACACCAACAACAGCAAAGCGATTCCAATAACGATGTGATGATTCTGAAATTAAAGCTAAAGAAAAAAAAATTGTTAGTTTTATAAAGAAAAAAAAACGAAGAAAAACAGAAAAAAAAAGAAAAAAGCCAAAAGAAAGACGAAAGAAAAAACAAATAATAAAAGAAAAACAAAAGAGAAAAAAAAAACAGAAGAGAAAGAAAAAGGAGAAAAGCGCAAGAAAAAACTAAAGAATAAAAGAACAAATAGACAAAAAAAATCAGAAGAGCAAAAAAAAACAGACAAAAAATGAAAGAAAAATCAGAGAAGAAAAAAACAAATAAGCGAAAGAAAGAAAAATATGCGAAAAAAAGATAAATAGATAAAAGAAAAAACTAATAAATGAAAGAAAAGACAAAAAAAAAAGACAAAAAAAGGGAAAGGGTAAAAACAAAAGGAACCAAAAAAATAAAAAAATAAATAAAAAAATGAAAGAAAAGACAGAAGAAAAAATATAAAAAAAGATAAAAAAAAAGAAAGAAAAGACAGAAGAAAAAAAGGAAAAAAAGATAGAAAAAAAGATAAAAGAAAAAATGAAAAAAAAGATAGAAGAAAAACAGAAGAAAAATAGAAAAAAAGATGGAAGAAAAGACGGAAGAAAAAATAGAAGAAAAAATAGAAGAAAAAATAGAAGAAAAAACAGAAGAGAAGATGAAAGAAAAGACAGAAAAAAAGATGGAAAAAAAAATGGAAAAAAAAATGAAAGAAGAAAAATCTAAAGTGAACAAAAAATTAAAGACGAAAAAAAAATCAAAAATGAAAAAAAATTGCAAAAAAGAAAAAAAGTGTGAAAAAAAGAAAAAAAAATCTAAAAAAAAAGATAAGAAAAGAAGCAAGCAAAACTACGAAAGCAAAGCGGCAAAGAAAAGAAAAACAAAGCAGCAAAGAAAAGCAAAGCGGAAAGAAAAGTAAAAAAAAGCAACACGGCAAAGAATAACAAAGTGGCAGAAAAGCAAAGCAGCAAAGAAAAGCAAAGTAGCAAAGAAAAGCAAAGTAGCAAAAAAAAGTAAAGCAGCAAAGAAAAAGCAAAACAGCAAAGAAAAGTAAAGCGACAAAGTGTTAAACAAAAACAAAAAGTGCGATTATCAATTGTTTATATGTGATCAGCAATCTCAAAAATAATTAGCCGATTATATAAGAGCATAGTTGCTAAATAAATCAAAATAATTTGATTTATTTAGCGACTTATTACACTGTATCTCTTATATAATTAGCAATCTCAAAAATGATTAGCTAATCATTAAGGGTGTAGTGCAACAGATTGCTAAATAAATCAAATTATTTCGAATTAATTTGATTTATTTAGCGATCTGTTGTACTACAACTCTCATATGATTGGCTAATCATTTTTGAGATTGCCAATTATATAAGGGATGCAGTGCAATGAGTTGCTAAATAAATCGAATTAATTCGAATTATTTTGAATTAATTTAAGTTTATATTATTTACTTCAACCCTCTTCATAATTATTCTATCAACTTATTTAATATATTTATTTTGAACTTCAAAATATTTCTTTTGTAATAATGCTCAAATTATTGTGAAATATAGCACAATATCTTACGTAATATTTTGTAATAATCTTACATAATATTTCAAAATTGTATATTTCGCTTTATTGCGCAATATTTTGTGTAATATTATAGCTATTTTATATTGCATAATTTATTGCACAATATTACGCTCTATTAAATTTGCTGATATATGGGGCCTTTGCTATGATTTTTTTTTACTAAAAATAGATTTGTTATGATTTTACTAATTAAAATCTTGTGT